TCCTGTGAATGGGGTCCTCCTAAACGGCTCATTAGCTAGCATTCACTGAAAGACAAACAGGCTGATTACTGGGCTCTAAGATAAGTCACTGCATCCTGCCTCAGCATCTCATAATGAGCTATATGAAAAAATATACGTAGCTATAAATAAGACCTTCTAAGTTGGAAAGCCTTTGCTTCCTCTCAAGAATAGAAACACCACTAACTCTACTCAACAGTGAATACCTTGTGTGAAAAATTGTAATCCCAAAACATAATCAAAACATACCATCACATTGACATCACTGTGCAATTTGAAAAGCTCCTGAAATAACTCCTAAGTCATGCAGACAGAAAAAATCTAAAGAATGTTCCATGCAAATGCTACTTTTGAATGGGTCTTTAATATGCAACACTCCCTTATTAAATATGTATTAATCTCTGATTAGCAATAAATACAAACACTCAAGACAAGAACACTATTTCACTGATAAAAAAAATGAAGCATTCAGATGCCATGGCTTGTGGGAGCCCTATAAAATTAAAACAAACAGTAAAAGTAGTCTTTGTTTAATAAGTTAGCGTGTATTTGGTGAGCACTTCCTACAAACGGTGCCATATACTCTTTCCACAAGCTTCTGATCATACTTAACTAACTTTACTAACGTCAGTGAGACTTCCCAAAGTAAAGCCAATCTGACCTGCAAAATCAAGCATAAATAACTTTTTCACACTAGAAACTAAAAAAAAAAGTGTAATCGGTGGTTTATGCCAAAAGTATCACGGGATTTTTACAAATACAGAGCAAAATTTCTACGCAAGCTATAATCAAAGTTATATCGTCCTTTCAGTACGCTTACAGAGCGTACTATATTTTATTATATATTTTACTACCACAACTATATTTTATTTAAGCTAGTAATGTTGTTAGTGGTTTAGAGGGTATATCCAGCAAGTCTATGGAAACATGTCGGCATGCTTGTAGCTAAAGGGAAAACGCCCACAGAGCTGTCAGATTTAATGAGCGTCCAGAGCAGTACGTTAGTAACACCCAAACGCGACCACCATTAAAAAAAAAACTCAAAAACCTAAAAATCTTCGCCTCGCAAAAATTACACAACTCCTCCGCTACTTTGGGGAACTTCACCAACAGCGCCAAGCCTGCGCCCCTG